TGCCTTTCTTTCCCGCATGCCATTGGATCGCAGAGAGACACAGGATTGGCGGAGGCCAGGTAGTCCAACATGTCTGCGCCGTAAATCCGACGCCACACTGCCTTCCCCTTAAGAGTGAAGCTGTCCTCAGCTTCTGGCTTGGTCCACCGCACTGTTGTTGATTTCCAGTGTTGGTTAAATATCCAGTTCGACACTCCCCGCACCCCAAATCTGGCTGGTTAGTGGCCCACGCGAATAGTTGACGAGGGACTTTACTCTTGTAGACTTGCAGGAAAGACTCATCATCCATTGAAGGTCTTTCGCAGATGCAGTCCAGCTGGCTTCCACTGTCCAAGTCGTCGTCGCTGAGTTGCTAATACCTCTTCAGATGCAGCAGTTTTAATCCTGGGCAATGTCTATGGATCCAGCTTATTGGACATCGGATGAACGCCATGACAATTTCAGCTGGCATTCAAGGGTCTTCGCCTCTGTTGACCATAGAAGAGAAAGGGCTGGTGTTCGATTCGCGTTATTCGAACGCATCCGCTGCAACCAGTGTAGAATAACCGAGCCCTAATAGGCAAAAGACCGGTACAACAGAACAGGCTTTGTTGACCAATCAGAAGCCAGAGCCACGCGTCAGGCGCCTTCCATCCGAGTCCGCCAAGCTAGCCACGCCGCTCATTATATACTACACCTCAGTCGTGTCCTTCTCTGGTTGGCTGCCTTTCTTTCCCGCATGCCATTGGATCGCAGAGAGACACAGGATTGGCGGAGGCCAGGTAGTCCAACATGTCTGCGCCCCAATCCGACGCCACACCACATCACAACTGCGTACCACACGCCCTCAGACGTCGCCACACCGTAGCATAGGACCATATCACACTCCTTGGTTATGACTGCAAGAAGTGCGACCTATGAGTTTTGTCCTCGAGCTGAACCTTTAGAAGGTGTGGAATATCCACTTACAGTAAACTACTGTGGAGGTTTGTGTAGGTTCCTGTAGATATTATTTTAATAGAATGCTCTTTGCCTGTTGAGTACTGTGAATTCTCTACTGACCCAGCAAGGTGTAGAATATGGCTTGAGAAGAATCTTCCGGAGGTTTTCGAAAGGTTATATACAGGTGATCGACCCACAGATGCTGTTTGCTCGAAAAAAAAATCTCGCCAGAGTCGAGGAGGAAAGGGTTTGGGCTCTAAAAAGCCATTGGAGCAGAAAATATCCGTTTCGCGCTCTTCACGTGTTAAAAACAAATTTACTACAAGCGTCATTGGCCTAGATTCGTACGGTTAGTATGTCTTTTTTTACCTTTTTAAGCACTGTGTTGTCTCGATTTCCATGTTTTTGTTTTTATAATTTTGGCCCCTAGAAAATTTTGTATCGAATAATGGTTTGAATACGTTCGTGTTATTTGTGCTTCACATGATCGCAATATGGCGTTTCTATTAAAATTATTAACAAAGACAACTTTTCCCTTGATTAGGAATTGACTTGAAACAGGCTGCCAAATTTTTTGGGCAGAAATTTGCCACTGGTACTTCCACCGGCAGTAATGGTGAAATCGTTATTCAGGGAGACGTCAAGCACGAGCTGATGGAACTAATTCCGCAGAAATGGAAAGAGGTTTGTAAAACAAGATTGAGTCCATTCTATGATTTTCGTTCATTTGCCGTTGATGTTTGTAGGTTCCTGAAGGATCGATCGAGGATCTTGGCGATGTAAAACGTTAATTGTGTATTTCAACTTGTACTTACATAAATTAATGCTGCCTAAATAGACTTGCCCTGCGCTCCTTTTTATTGGACTCGAATCTTCGCAAGTTTATTTTGCTCAAATAGACCCTACAAAATAACCTTCTGGGATACACTACCATAGTACCCTTGTGTTTACGACTCATAAATGCATTAAGAATTTCTACGTATTTGTCCTCGCAGAACTTCACGTAGTTTGTAGAGCCAATTTTAGGGCATTGGGCACCCGAGTATGCCGTGTTGACTAAATTTAAAGTGCTCAGCAGTTACAGGTTTTGCGCCCTCTTAGGGTCTTTATCTCTTAAATTAATGAATACTGACCATAGTTTTACTATGTAGAAAGAGGCGATATCCGAAACCGCAAGCTTTCTGACTTCAACCCCACGTGCGGAGAATCGCGTTTCTGCACGGCAGGCTAATGTCCATTGTTTCAACCCAATTTTTTGTGAAACCCGTGGAAGAGCTTAGGCCAAGTCAAACTACCGCTAGCTAGGACTCAAATAATACCCAGTGATTTATTAGAGGGATGTCGAATATTTTGGCGGAGCCACTAAACGCAAACTGACCTCCGGCGAGAGTGCAAGCTTAGTCCGAAGAGTTTAAAAGCGTACCTAGCATAAATAGGTCGGTGTGTAGATACTGGATACACCCAACTATTCAGAGGGAACTACATTATCAGGTCATGTCCGGAAGTAGAGAACGGGTCGCTGAGTAGAAATGTGCATCATAGAGTTGTGTACCTAAAGTCCACGAACCAAGTAAATAAAGGTGAACAAAACGTTGAATATATCCATTCTGTACGCGAGCTACCCTGAGTAGAGACCTTCTGGGAAAGGTACACCTGTTCGATGGCCACGACCACGTTACGGGTTAGCGGTAAAACCCATCAACTCACAAATGCAAGGATTTAATTCGGGAAAGTATATGACGGCAAAACAGGTCCTCACCACTCACAAACATCAAACCTGCTTATATTCATATTCGTCATAGGCAGCGATTTACTGGCGGAAATCAGCGATGTCCGTAAGGCTCTAATCTTTAAAAAACCGGCCTACGATCAAGCCAAGTGTTTCAATGCCTGTTTCCGTTGGTTTACTTACTACCCTTACCGTTGAAAGTGACCATGATACAACACAACTCACCTTTGACTTCTGAAAACATTCAAAAGCACATACAGGTCCTTAAACGCCACAAAACCCTTTCCTGATACCAATCGCTAATGGTGTCTGTGCTAATTGACAGTTGTTCTAAATTATTTTGAATCAATGAAATGATTCGCGGATAAAGTTGATTTTGCAAAACGAAGTGGGAAATATTTTATTAAGGAGTTTCAGCGAAACATGAAATTAGCAGCAGTCTAGGGGCTTGAAAAATGAGAAGAGAGCTCGACTGCAATTTAGAATGATCCGGGTGCCGACAGACTTTGATCAAGGAACTTTCGTTTTGCAAAGCATAGCCACCACTAAATGTTAAAAGAAAATACGTTACGTGTACCTAAAAGTATCACATAGTGCCATATCTCAACTACTCATAGGCAAATAGAAGTTTATCTGTGAAAGATGCGACAGTATAGCCTACCTTACTGGGTTGCGCTTGATCGTCAACATAAACCCTATCAAGTAAGCGGATGCCCAACTCAGTGCGCAGTTGAGCAATGTATTCACGCATTAAATTGGCATCAGCCATCGAGGGCTTCGTATACAAATTGCTGAGTTCCCGGGGGAAGCCAGGGTCGCCAGGTAAATCAAAACGAGCCAACGACAAAGAAGTCAACTCCTTAGATCCATGAGACTTGGTCGGACACTAAAAATATGAAATTCAAGTTTAAAACCGTATACACCGGAATATCGAATAATTAAAATCTACACAATAAATTAGCTTACTCGCTGGAGCTTTTTTAAGCATTCCAGAATGTAGAGAACTAAATACACAAGTACACGATCAGCATCACTCTGTAAGATAAGGATGGGATTGATAGAAAGATGTGGTCCAAACGGGACTTAAAATCAAAATTATCGATTAAACTCACGAACCTTGAATTCATATTGTCTAAAGAAGGTGAGTGGTTTAAAGTAAAGAAGAGCTTCATCGATTATGTCTTCGGCCAAATTAGGATCCTGTGGTGCAGGACCACGCACTTTCGTGCGCAGAGGCAAAATCGCCATATTACCAACACGCCTCGGGCAAGAGGTAAACTTAGAGTGGTATGTCATCTAAAAAGAGATCAAAATTCAGGTAATGACACCTTCATAAGATGATTTGAGACAATTGTAGCTGTGACTACTAAAAAGTCCTCACATAATTCAAAAGTGAAACGAATGTGAAATAAGCTTAACTTTCACCGTATCACTGAGTAGGTCGCCTTTTGTTCTGGCGAAAACTAATTTGGCGGATAAGGTATATGTGCAAGCTGAATGTTCATGCAGCATAACAGGCTAAATGTTGGGATAAAATAATGATAGACCCCTAGAAGGGAGTATATACCTGATCAAAGTGACACACTTGACTTGCTTCAAAGACATTCCAGAAAGCAAAAATTTATCAGTTAAACCTAGACAACTGGAACCAACGCATACGAAATTCAAAATGACATTCGAATTGGCTTGAAGACATTCATTACATGGCAAACAGAACTACGTATTTAAAATACAGTGAGCATACAGTGTCGCCACATTCCTGCGTCCTAGTATAACATAGTACACATCCAAAAGACAGGTCCAATCTGAAACTTATGGTAGTTATAGTATAAGGCTTCCTCAATGAGAGTTGTCTAAATAAGGAATTAAGCAGCTATGCGACTGTAAGACGAATTTGAAAGTTCACAGAAAAAGAAATTCTAAGTCACTGATAAAGCAGTTATTACTGAGAGGTCCGCATATCTGCCATATTTTTTTTGCAATTTAGGGCAGCATTTAACAAAAGGTAATTGCGAAAACAATTAAGTCCGTGACACAAAAGAACAGAAGGCTTTATACTGCACTAAGACAGCTGTAGGTTATGGTTAAACAAGAATTAATAAAATGAACTGATTACGGCAGACCTCGAATCAACTTCCGATAACGCCAGACAGCATACTAGCCGCGGTAAACCCCAAACCAGCTATTTATATATTAAAACGAAGATCTATTTTTAGATTTTGGTAGTTTCAAAGGAAGTAAAAAGTATAAGGAATTAGGCTCTGAAATTAAATAATAGTAATGGCGTTTTGTAGTAATGAAAATGTGGGATGTTTGTTTTCCTGTGCATTCAATGATATCGAAAAGGTATAACCGTCATGTGCCACATAAAATATTCGGCTGTCACGATGAAAATAATGGTTAAGTTAACATTTTTTAAAATTTTCTTTGCATGTCTAGAGTCTATTGCATTGTCTTATTTACCGCAAGGAGATTTTTGGCCGTTGACTTTTCGAGAATCTTCGTGTTTAGCCTGATACATCACCTGTCGTATTAACAAGCATGCAACATGATCGATGTTAAGATCCGCTGGTGCAGAAACAGAGAACAATTAAGGGCCTCTAAAACTGAAGCACTTCAGTGGGAAATGCCATTTATCTAAACTGTGATCGTGATAGTGAGAGTGCTTATAAGGTGCCTGCAATCAGCAAATAATATAATTTTAGATGTAGTCTCATTACTAATAAACTTATGTTATACCCGTTTGGAAATTCTTCCGCGAACGCCTGTATGCTGACATTCTACTACATCCCTATTCATGCGTTATCATAATGGGTAATTTGTGTGTTAGCATTGATATTTCTGACCATTTGAAACTCTGTTGTATGCAAACGAATTTGTATTAACTAGGATGATTAATTATTGAAATCCTGAAATCCCTATATATTTAACTACTTGTTTGAATTTTTAATAGTTAGGAAAAGGATGCCAATCAAATAAGTGTATTCTTTAAAGTTTCTTAGGACGGGCTCCAGTATTAATTCAGTTTGGCGTCTCTAGAAATGTCTTCGTTATTTTAATAATTGTTAACATTTTTTTGGCCGACTAAACCTATTTGCGTGCGTTATAGTGCATTTCATGAAAAAGGGGTATTTTTCTGTGTTTCACTAGATGCCTGTACTTTGAGCAATAATATGGTTACCAACGGTCCTACATTTTATTTTTCAGTAATGAAGCAGAAAATGAACTCTGTGAACTAATGTCTCACCTTCAGAATTAGATAAAATGAGGAAGTACTATAATAATAACGGGAGTTATTTTTTAATTGATCAAAACATGTTTTCAGACAACGGTATAGTTTTTGCTAAATTACCCAGTAAAGTCAGTAACATCTAAACATGGCAAGCTCTTGTTTACCTATAAGTGTTTTGTTTCCTGTCTAAGACGTTTCTTTTGTGTTTGGTTGATTTAATATTTGCAAAATGCCTCATGTTTTATTCACAGTGAAAAAAACCGTTGGTATTAAAATTCATCATCAGATTGGTTTCCCTAGCGTCTCCACACGGACTAGACTATTGGTTAATACTAATCATTAGTTTTTTATCGTATTATAATAGTCCAACGCAGACACATCTAATGCTTTTTCATACATTTTACATTGTCTCTTACAGTACTTCTGGACGACACATTATTTTGCAACACACAAGAGGAAGCATGAAGTCGATGATCATTAGTCAAAACAGTCTTTTAATCAAGCTCATGTCTCTAGAAGGCCATTTTAATACAAACTGTTGTGCTCCATGATTTATGGATACACAGCCGTGATTTGCTAACTCAATATTCTGTACTCAAGCACTGGATAATTTGTACAATGCCAAACCAATGGACAAATTTTCTTACACGTCATTTGGGTCGTTGAACTTGTGTTTTTTAAAACCTTATGCCAAGATCTAACCATACACGACTGATTAATTCCTAAACATACACCAGGAGACGTCGCCTTTCGTTTTATAATTGCATAATATTGCTTAATTCATCAGTACTAATTGATGTTGTGAAGGTCAATATTGATGGAGACACGCTTCTCTTCCTGGCGCAGACCAGATTTGTAGTTTCCTGGATTGCTAAGTCTTTTTAAAAGATACAACTTTTTAAGCACTTTAACATACCATATTTCAAATATCATACATATCTTCAAATTAAAGCAATTTTATTGATTCCGTCCCCTTGCTGAAACTATTACTTTTGGTTATTGCTCAGTTTTGATTTGGGACCACAGCAACGGGATAATAAAGTGTTTGTCTCTAAGTCTCACACTGTAAACTACTTATTAACATTATTTTAGGTCTTAAGCATTTTCTTCACTGTTTGCTATGCACTTAGTCAAATAATTTCTGAACCAACTTTGATATATAGATATTTATGCGATACGAGCACAAAAAGCAATATTAGTAACTTGCTTTATCCCTTTTTGCACATTTAATGGTCGTGAAAATTTCTCTAACCAAAATAACACTTGAGAATTAAACCCGATGTTAGGCTTTGCAAATTCCTACTTTCATGTATTCAAGCACACACAAATCCCAGACATAAAAAAGAAGATACCAAAAATTTGTGGCGCCAATGAGATCAAGCTTAGGAGTAGAGTTAAGTGAGAAACCAGTTGGAGACTTAAAAGGTAATTATACAAAATTATTTCGAGATTACGGCAGATCAAACGTCACTGAATACAGACTGGACGCCGAGAGGATTTTGTCAGAAGTCCATTAAACGGAAGACAAATCACACTGGAAGCTTCAAGGCCACTTGGAGAATCACAACGATAAAAGAGGTTATCCAATGCAGCTATATCGTAGAAAGACAAAAGTACCGGAATTAGCAAAAAACACTAATCAATTATGCACTGTTTAGTAAACTTAGAGATGACCCTAGTAACGTGTGAATAGGGGTCGACCAGATTGATGAAGAACGAATCCAAAAGTGATCAAACTTTAGAAAAGCATCATTTTGCATGTTAATCAAAGCTTTAAGCGTCCCGTCGCCTGGTCGTCACAAGCACAAAATTCACAAGTATTGATAATCTCTGAGAGCCTATTTAAAAATGCATCGATGGGCACACACACTTAGGTGCTCGCTAGCCTCGAATCTCAAACCGATAACTATTGCAACTGAGAAAGGCTCTGCCAACTATTCATAAGGTTTACGTTATTATGTTTGAAATTGTACTAGTAGATTGCATACGGAGACGCCAGAGTTTGACCTCGCAAAACCCTCAGCCTAAATCGAAATTTTTAAAATCATGTGCTGTCTTATCATGCTACCCTGTGTAATATAACAGCTTCGAGTTAGACATTAGTTATACATCTCATAACCAATTCGCTCTGCATTAGCCTAGACAATTTATTGGCATCATTCCAATTTTGAGCCAAAAACGCACCCATTCATGAACCAAGTGATTAATACATAACTGAGCTGTAGCACATGAACGATCACCCGTGACGTAGCATGATTAAATAGAGCCACGGTAACATGCATGAAACAATTTTTGTAGAAAATCACAGGCTTGAAAGTTGGGAAAGTTAATTGGATAAAACGTTGGGATTTGCTTAACTTACCAACAGACTAAATTGTGCGACATTGTGGCTTTTACCTTATGCCTTATTTAACAGGTTTTGGATTTGAAATGGGTAAGGCATTTGGCAGATCGGTAGTAGGGCCAAAGAAATTGCCAAAATAAACAAATCATCTGGAATTATGAAAGTTAGAAGTTAGACATCTTAAACATTATCGACTCTGTCAAGAACTTAAGATCTCTCATTAGGTATAAAATCTGATGTACAATAAACATGAACTTTGGCTTTTTATCAGTTGAAACCATAAAGCGCTGTAACTAGAACTTTGGCATTAATTACCGCTGCTATTGAAGACCACCACTTGATGTGCTCTTCTGCTCTTCCATCTTGGTGTCAATGCTAATCCGAGTATCGCCACCATTCACTGAATTAACTATCCTTGCAGGTGGGGCGGGGGGCAAACTTCTTCCAGAGTGCTCCTCCTGACCTCGAAATGGTTCAAAATCCAATGTTGACTGATCGATTTTGGCAAGGACTTGGTCACTTTTTCCATAGCACTCGTCAACCCAATTGCATTTTGACATCTACGAGAAATCAACGCAAGCATCACTGGAAAAACACACAAGAATGCTTGTACGCATGCTTACTTTTTCTTCAGTCGCTACCGAGCGTGTTGCTAGCTCTAGGAATCCATCGTCACAATCTGATCCACGGTAGGGCAGTTTCAGGGGTGGTGGTAAACCCACAGAGTTGTTTCCTCCAGGACTGGAAGAATTTTCTGTTCCTGAGAGTCTGATTCCGTTATTAGAGATGCCAATTCTACTAGACTGTAGAGGAGACAGACTTGGAAGTTTAGGACTTGTTCCGGATGACATTTGCCTCTGTGATGCAGGTCTTGGTGAAGTGCCCTTCTGAATAGAATCGTGCTGTAAGCCAGGACTAAGCATATTCTGGACCATTATATTTATCTCTGCTAGGCGAGAAAAACCATCTAACTTTGTTGCAGTGCCTTTAGCAGAATGAGGCAGATGTATCGAAGACCTAAGTGTAGTGATTTTCTACAAAACAATCAAATGGGATTATTTTAAATCCAAAACACCTTTTTACTTATTATTTGTTTGATACTGAAATCGTATTAGCCCTCCGTCGCACCTGTCATTCCCACGTTGTGCCCATATTACTAGATGTAAAATGACATTGCGATATTGCCAACTTCTTTGTCACACCTTCCCGTAAAATAATAAAGAACCAAATGTGTGCTAGTACGTGATATCGGTTACATTTCTAGTTGTACATAACTATCGATATCTGAAAGCATAAACTTACAGAAATGTTGTCTGAGGAAGTGTTTGCGACCATACATGAAGCCTTTTCTTTTGTGTCTCGAAGAATATGGGACTGATTTTCCAGACGTTTTAACCGTAGAGCCATTTCCTGAAAGCCCTCAGACAGGTTCTTATTCTGATTTAGAAGCTGCTTTATTCGATACTAAAATATTGAGAGACGTTTTGGCCACAATTAGTGTCAATCGAGAACAGTTTGAAGAGGTGAAAATTACCTGCCCTTCCATGCGAGCTGCAGCCTCTAATCGAAGTTGTCTCATGAGCTGATGTATTTGATAAACGGCTATTTTGGTTTCCGTCTCCTTGATATTCAGCTGGCGCTTAAGTATATCAAGAATTTCAGAAGATAGAGCCGTCATCTCAGTGGATTCTTTATCTTCTAATCCGGATGACTCAGCAGGTGCAGAAGCCAAGTTTGGGGATGTTACTGAGCTTGGTATCCCCGCTGCAGCTTCGAGGTTATTTATTGTATCTTTAGACAGCTGGTAGGACGAGCTTGATTTAAGGTCATTTTTGCATGCTCTAATTTTGCTTGGTTCCAAAAAGTTAAGTCGAGGATTGAGAGCAGCGTGGGTCTCACTAAGTGATCCATCCTGTACACCCTACAGGAAGAGTCACTAAACTGACTGCTTTTACAGCTTACCAAATATTGGAACCACGATAGTGAGCCTGACTGGGATGGATTTTCATTCGAGCCCATTGGCTTATCGCCTGTAAGACCGGTTTGAAGTTCATTTAGAAGATGGCTAAGTAGTACTGGATCAGGTGGTATACTGGATTGGCTTTGAACGGAATGTGTACTACCTGGGAAGTAAAGGGAAATAGATACATACAGTCAATTTAGCACTTTTAAGAAATCTTTGCTTACTTCCACATAGAATATCGCGTGCGAGATTTGTGTCAAGAGACTGGCTTTGTGGCAGACCAAACAAGGACAGAGACGCTGGTGTTGGGTAGCCAAAACTGTGACCAAATTGACCCCAGGCTAGAAAATCATCATTAGTGATACTTTGTTTTATAGCTGAACGGGGAAGAATACGAGGTAGGTCGGAGCTTTCACTCGAGTCACTTGAATGTCGGTGACGACGTCGACGTCGACAAGAGGAGACTTTCTTAACTTTTTTTAAAGTCAGTGGAGCCGCAGAGCGCTTCTCATCATCGTGACGTTCCTCATCAGAAACCTCGTCGCTGTATATAACACTTTTTTCACGATCGTCTCCTCCTCCATCTCTTGTGTCGTCATCGGAGCCATGGCCACCCCGAAACATGGGCTGCTGTCTGTGTGGACGCTGCCAGTCGTTTTCATCAGAGGAGTTGTCGTAGAGAGGTGGAGAAGGATTCCGTTGGCTGCGATGCACGGACTTTCGACGACGAGGAGACGCAGGTGCCCGGTAATTGCTTTTGTCCCTTGCCAGCTGACTTTCGTCGCCTTTTTTTGAGGCTGGATCGTTTTCCTGTTTTTGCAGTGCTAGTCGGTGACAAACGTCAAATGCTTGGCCAACGGTTCGAACAATCCGCATAGCTTGAAGCTACAACGACATACAAGTAGATGTGCTTTCCAGAGTAGTTCGTTTGTATTGCTAAATAGCTAATTTATGGCTTCATGAAGTGATCGTAAATGCTAGGCTAAGTAATTAAGTGTCTATTCACAGTTAAGTATGCCTAAAAAATGAATCCGTTTTTCTAAACAGACTAAACTTTTAGGAAATCCCAAAAAATATTCACAAACTACGTCTTGCAGCAGCATTTAAACTTCATGGCAAAATCCATCAAGGAGTCCACTTGAACACTTTAAATAATACTATTGAGTTTAAATAGTGTTTTTTATAGTTTCCGTTTCTGATTTTGAAGTTTAAAGCATTTTTAGACATGAAAATATTTATGGGGCATTATAAGTAGTAAATTATTTGTATGCAGGCTAGCGCTAATAAATTTATCGCTAATTTAAAACTCCATTATTTGGATATCGAAACCAACATGTACTGGTACTTGACATAAATATTATCTAATGGAGAAATTTTAGTAAAGTGGCGACAGAAATTTAGCCACACATGTTTATCCACATCCCTTGCAACAAAGCAGCCACATGACACCACAATGGTTCATCACACTTTGTTGATGAATCAACAGTCCCGTTCGCCTGGCGACATTCTTCTGACTGACTTTCTAGCTATGTAACCTGCTCATCACTACGATGTCATACCTTTTTATATGCCTTGAAGACGTAGCATTTGAAGCAGCTGCTTTTTCCATCTCTTGCAATGTAACTGAAGATCTTCAGGTCCTGGGAGTCATGAGAAACGTAGAAAATTCTAAAATGGAAATGGTTTATGTTCCAAATGTGTAAGAACTTATGAAAGTTAGGCAATATTTTGCACTTTAAAATTCAGGTCATATTTTATGCTTTTAGTAAATGCTTTTATTTTCGTGAAAAGATATATCTGATTCTGCTAATTTAATCAATAAACATCATCAGTTTTAACAGCAGAGTGCAATAAAGTAAAAACCAGATTCATGGTAAAAAACTAGAATTAGGCATTTAAAAGTACAAACAGGGTACACAATTTTTTCTGTTTTGTGTTTGCGGCGCGTCGAGGCTTGAATGAACGGTGTGGGACAACGATATATCGTTATATGCCTTTTTTGAATGTTTTACAAGCAAAACTATGGACTCCATCACAATGGTTGATGTTAACTCACTATTCACCCATTTTCTGATGCAGCTTTCTATGAGCTGTTATTGTGGATAATTTAATCGATTTTACCTGGTGTATTTGTCGTTCCCCAAAAAATACTCCACTCTTACCACTTAGAAACACGATGCATTATTCAGCCACAGACCAAGGTAGACGTAAATAAGCCATAAACTGAGGAGCTAACCTGTAAATAGGATGGCAGAAGATGACATTGGAGGGATGCACACAGGAGAGGGCTGCTGCGTTTCGGAGACCAAGACCAAGAAGACCGCTGCTTTGAGTGGGCGATGGAGGTAACGCGGACGACTTAGTGTCATCCATACTTTTTGAGGTTGGCATTTCTAAGAATTTATTCATAGTAAGCTAAATAAATGTCATTCTAACAGCAACATACTTTTATACTTAGTACCACAAACCATGAAGTGAAAAAGTAACACATTTTGTGTGACCAGAGAAGTGCCACTCGAAAAGTCTAGCAGCTTCATCATACATTGCGCATGTTTTAAGTCACCAGAGGCCTTCAAAATCAGCTTACCCACTGTGACCGAAGTAGCTGATCCAGATAATTTACTTAAGGCTGTGGAGAACCGAGCGCCCACCTAGTAAACGAATTAAAATGTGATCTTTTAAAAGAAAAATGACTTGGTATATTTCGATTTAAGGCGAAACAAATTCATTCCTTGAAGTTATTCAGTGTTTGATTAAATCACATTGGTAATAAGTTTTCCATCGAAAAATACTGTAGCACATTAAATCATGGAGGAAGGAATACACCTGTGCATTGATTCGAAAGCACAATGGACCAATTTTATTGACTGCAAGATTCAGTTTGCGAATGACCAGTGAACATGACTACGTTGATAGTGTACAAATGGTGGATCACTCTGGGAAATGCTATCTTCTCTAACTTGCGCTACTAACTTGAGCGACGTTAGCGAATTGATAGAAGGTTGGCCACAAAATCAGTGCGTCTGCAGGAGCCCATATCCGAGGGCATAGGATAGCTAGAAGCGCAATGTTCACGTCATGTGCCAGTTCTTACCTTCGGCTTGTTTCTTCCGTACACAAAGACTCCGTCAGCTGACACTTTGATTAAAGCCTTCTGCTTCTTAACCCCCTTTGCTTTGAACTCGTACTAAAATGGTGAAACGATAGAATGCGGTGTTTTTTGTGCAGAATTCTGAAATACATTTCCGTACACCGATTGTAAATCAAGGGAAAATTTTCTTCAGGCTCTCATGCCCAATCTGATTAATCAGGAAATTTTGAAATGCTTGCAAAATAACAGATCAGCGTTGCGTACACCTTTAGTGTGGCGTTTACTTCAAACAAAAGCCCCGGCCACTAGATCTGGCAAGTTCCTAAAAACATGCGAAAAAATCAAAGTGATGCTTTACGTGGCAGCATTGGTTCTACAATCACAGACATCTGACAAGGTGCCTTGTTGTAGAAACAAGCTAAAGGTCCCTGTAAATTAAGATTATGAATTCAAAAGTTCAAATATAAAGCAAATACGCTCATAATTTTGCTGTTCCCAGGCGACTTCTGATAAATTAATACCTTTAAAGTCGGCGATAGTGCTTGGATTGCACGATGCACCAGAGAAACCGCATGTCTAGCTTAGCTATATTCGCAAGAAAAAGACCACTCAACCTAATGCAAGTCAGCCTCAGGCAATTTAAGGTTAAGTATTATATCGAATTTTTGATTTTGACATAGTGCAAGAGGAGTTCACATCCCAGGGTGCGTAGCTCCATTAGGCAAAGGGTTTCCACTAGATGCTTGCCCCCAAATTTGGTGCCACCGTAGGGAACTCGCATGTGTTAATTTTGCTGGAAGACTGCCAGGATAGTAGTAAGCTGGTCCAAACCTTTTTTGAAACAGAATGCTCAAGCTACACCACACTCCCATCCATACTTCCAAAACTCTTTTTGGATTACTTCAATCAATGCGCAATGTCAAAAAAGAAATTAGTAAAAGAATAAGAACTAGATTCAATTAATGCATCAAGGAACCATGCATCTTAGTTCGTGTGGACCCTTTCAAAAAAGCATGAAAAAAGGGGTTTCGAAAGGCTTCCTTTGTCTAGATAATAGATTAGCCGTCTTACATTCTAATCAACTGTTTGTGGGCCACTCTAAATGAATTTGTGAGAACATTTACTTCGTCGATAAGGTCGAGCTAAGAGACATCAAGCAAAAACCCTCACTAAAACGCCAATTAACGAAGTATGCTTTCCGGTTTTGAGCTGATTATGGTGTGTAATTGTGGTCTCAGAAATGTGCAGTTTGTCAGAGTCGTGAAATCTGTTTTCCAGACAGCGTTCATTCTAGGCAAATAAATTTCGGTTGCTTGCAATAAAAATGCTTTTATTATACTAAAGCTGCTTTGGACGTGTTAAATATTTGTTTCTTATTGCAGTTTAGGGTGTCCCACTAAATGATTGGTAGCTATGTTAGTGGATTTTATGTTTACGTAGATAATTTTTAATTATTCTCAATTATCGTTTTAGATAAATTTTTTCAAGGAAACAAGACTCATGCACCAACTGGATAGTTTTATGTATAAAACAATTGTAGATACTTCCTAATAGTAACGTTTAAATTTTTAGCTTCTGAAAGTATCAACGAATGACTATGACCTCTAGGTTATTAATTTTGACAACATTTTTAAACAAAGTTATTTGAGAGCAAATCAAATAACGCCTCTTGTGAGTAAAATTTTTATTGTATTGTTCAAAATTAAATCCAGTTACGGAAAGAATTATTGCCAAGCAGATCATAGAAAACTAGCATGATCCATTTATGGGCGGTTGATGCAAATTTCTACACATAAAATCTACAAAAACAGGATGACAGTAAAATGAAAATGTCTAACAAAATTAAATGCACACAAATTATGTCTCTTTTTTCAGAAACAATAAACCTAATTATAATTTAATATCATAGCTCGTACATTTATTTTTTTAGTGTCACATTTGTGAGTGTCAGGCACTAAATAAAAGCAGATGATTTTTTTCATTGACATAAATTTCGCATGGATCAATGAAATAAACGCTAGTTTCCAGGACGCTGTACCTGATAAAAAAATTCTCTAATCACTCGTAGCACGTATGGAAAAATTTCTTAACGGTAACTTAAGAAGCCACACGAAGCAAAACATGTGAAAGATGTTCACTTAATGAGGACTATGATCAAGCTTCAGCCTCAACAATGCGTTCAAAGGATTTTCGGCTACCAAAAGCCGAAAATTGGACAAAATATTATAATGCCTGTCACTCTGTTCACTTTTCAATGAAGTATTCTAGATCGTAGAGTTTAAATTTGGGGAAACCCAGACACCGGTGGTCACTTAAAAATATTTGTTGTACGTGGTTGTCCGTTTGATTACTGGCGCAACCCACTTCTGTTTCTCAAGTGACAGGTAAATCGAATAGGACATACTCATAGTTATTGGTCTCGTAAAAGTGTGTTGTGAATTAGGTTGATTCACGCTCATTAATCTGGCTGCTCCGATCTCCGGCACAGTGTCCCTTTTTCGCAGCATACCGTCAGCAATGGGAAAACCTTAATTCACACAGGATTGTTGCTGACGTTTATATGGGATTATAACTGCGCGTTTATAACAATCACCTAAGTTTCGATGTTAGCACACCTATGGCTCACGCTGTTCCACACTTCCGAGCTATAAATACACACAGCAAAGTCACGCGGAGCGCAACTAAATTAAGCTCTTTACTAATTTGTTGTCTCCGCCATCTGTGGTCTTCTTGATCTTTTTGGGTACCTGTGTAGAGTAATCGAGCCAAACCCAACGCGGAGGCCCGGTGCGGTTTGAGACCACAATAATTGGTGGCCCCGAGGTTCAAAGCCGGAGCCCACAGCAGGTCTACCAGCAAACAATTTGCCTTGATTTTTTCAGTATTTTGTGAATTTTTTGGCAGTCTGAAGTCATCAAAATCATAAAATTGGACACAAAATAAAAACAATGACATTTTCTAAGATGGTCTGCGACTTCTCTCTTTAGTATCAAAATTACCCATCCCTCCTGAAATCACCAATTTTCATAACCATCAGAGATGCTTGTTGACAGTTGTAACAAGTTTCTATGACACCAGATACCATTTTTTAGTTGAGTAGTTTTATTTATGCAAACATTCCCTGCTGCGTAACTATATTTAGTGTTGATTCAACTACAAGCTATTTGCGACAGGAACAATGTTGCAGAAAGGCCTTTTATAACTCAGATTTCACGTAAATTGGAAAAATTTGCGAGGTATAGAAGATGGTCGAAATTTTGGTAATCGCCATGCGTACGTGACATGTATTAAAATAACTCACAAATGGATGGCCAAAAATGAACTTTAAACGGTTATCTTGAACTCACGAACTGAATGCCAAACAGTCCTTTTTGTACTAAAGCCTTGACACTTTAAAGAACCGCGCTGTTATTATATCAGTAAAGCGGTCAAGCCACGCGTTGTCTACGGACATTTGGATCTTTCCGGAGAGGCATCGTGGCTGCGTATGTGGTCGCTTCCTGTGCGGTTCTGCAACCGCACTGGAACTTCACCAACATCACTTATATAAAATTTTATACTTTAAACCATAAAGTTTTTAAAATGCCTAGGTCTTGTTTTACATATTTCTGGACGGTATGAAAGTAACGCCTGGGTCATTGTGTGTCGATTATCAATGGTGTGATTTATTCAGAAATGCGGAATCAGACAATCTTGATGGGAAAATCAGATGGCCTATAAGGACTAAAATAGGAATATCAACAAACAATGAAAATGTTGCTGACCTTCAGTGTAAGGACGGTGCCTGGACTTTATTTATTTAAATTGTGATTCAGCTACGAGTCCGATGTAGAATTGCATTCGACTCCTTAGAAGACTGTTTAGACTGAAGGTTTGTGATTTTGAACTGTTGTCTGTCTACTTTACAATTTTAAACGTTAATTTCTGATGGCTGGCTTTTAAGGGTAAAGTTGTCTCTTTCAAAACTTACCCGAATACGCCGCATTGAGGAAACAATTTCAAGCCGATTCTGAGGCCTCGGTACTTCCATCGCTCCAATGAACTAAAGTTGGGATATAACAATTCATTTTCTGTACTCTTACGCGGTCTAAGGTCGTTAATTATGAGGTTTTTGATCGGACAAAGAGCACTGAAACACTTTAAAAAAAACACAAAATTTGGATTATTAAGACTTGTATGGAAATTTTTCTAAGTATTGTTTGTGTAACACCCGCGACGGCAATCCAGGAATATCATCACTAATTTTCAAGACAATGCGACTTTTATCTAAAAGTAGTTTGGTTACATTAGTCGATTGACACAATTAGATGTAGGTTCAATTAAGGGACAAGGTGCGGGCAAAATCGAATATTTTTATTGCTATCAGCAATATTTAATTTAGTGTCGTTTGTGCATGCTTACAAACAATGAATGTGTCGGAGAAAATCGTCAATAAAGTTAAAAATATTTACAAAATTTTAAACAAGCCGTACACTGCAGAATTCATATGAAATGTCAAATGTTGCGTGCGGCGTCACTCTTAACCCTGGGTATTGATTAAACTGAAAGTAATTGCTCCCCAGAAATTAATCGAGCACTTTTCGTATGTTTGTTGTTTGGGATTAAGAATCACCGGCAGGCATGCAAGAAGGAGCTTTCCAAAACCTTGTACATTAAAGACTGTGATTTACTGTTTTTATTCTGCTACAGTGAAGTCGTGAGATAATAAATATCTATATACATAACGATATCAATAAATTTCACTTAGGTTTTCAAGACTGCATCATAGACGAATGAAGAAAGTATCTTACGTAAGGACCAAAAAATAAAGTTACCTGAAAAAAACACATGATTTAACAAAAAGTTTAGATAAACTAATTCTCCCTGTCTGTATTCCTACGCCGTCTAACGTAGGCTGCTCCTTTAATGCGATTTCTACATATAAAAATAATTTTCATGAATGGTTTAAAGTTTTCTTTTAAGTCTTAATTAAGATACGTAGAATTCATGATTAAGGTAAATGGGAATAACTCTGTAAAGTTGTTTCACATTAAGTTAAATTATATTTTTCTTGAACAATAAGAAAAAACGAATATTGCTAAGGTTCCCATAAAAAACATTTTGCTGTCGTGACTGTGGCCGATACTAGCTTTTACTTCATTTAAATGGACTAGTGCAAAATTAGGTACCATGTAATTTCACTCAAATGTTAGCAACTTACTCCAACGATTTTGCAATAAGGTTTCATTGAATGAACCTTTTACGCATGTTGGTTTATTTCAGTAAACAATATCAATGAATGCGGCAACTTGTTACTCAAAATGGAAGGTAACATTGCCTATCACATTTCACTTAATCAAAACATGACCATTTGACAATGATCAGGTTAAAACAATTCGTGGTGAACTGGTAAAAAGTATCATTGTCTCAATTGTATGATCCTTGCTGGTGTAATACTCACTATTGCATTGTCCATGGAAACTTATTAAGTGATTTATGGTAAAGAATTTTTTCGTAAAATTTAAAGCACCGCTTTTTACTAATTGAATATCATTAATCGGATTCATTTCGACTACACTGATTAGTTAATGGGGTAATTGTACTCAAAAAAGAATAGAATCATGACACGTCATATGCAAGCTTGCACTCGTTGATTATTAAAAAACCCATTTATTAGTTAAAATACTACGGCGATTGCTCTGATACGGTTAATTTTAGGGATTTCGTATTAAAGTTGTATTTTGTTACAAGTATCTCTTCAGAATAAAAATGTTTGACATATCGGTAGCAAACCTATTTTGGTGTTTGTGGTTTGTCACTTTTTTTTACCATGCAGGCATTCGAAATTCCTTTGGAATGAAATTATCTCACGTCAAGTCAAGGGGTTTTTGTCTAAAGATGCAAGGAAAATTTTATGAGGAAATGTATCAACACGGCATTTGCGTCTCGAGACAAATTCGATTTTTAGGTAATTCGTTTACGTTAATATAATTTTCAAAATTTGATTAGGTTTGAAGATTAGATTCCATAGCATTTACTTGCAGAGAAAACCTGATTGAAACAAGCCATAGCATACTAAGAACTTTGTAAGGAAGACATTTAGTTTTTATTGTTTATGATCTTTAGCACAACTAAAGCATTCACACAGAAGACCAGAAATAAGATGCTTGTAAGTATTATTAATAATAGCTGACACTTTCAAATTACTACAAAACTGCAGTTCAACCTTCCAGAGCCAATTTTTAAGATTAAATTTACACATTCTGTGTAAGGGGATGATCAACTGCATCACTCTAGTATCACGAGGGAACATATAAAAAATATCTGCCACGCCTATATTACTTACCAGGGTGGAGCGCTTTTACAATTTGAGGCAGCCTCAGGTTTCGATAGTAACTTGATTTTATCTAAAGAAAAGCTATTGATACAAAATTTGGCGTCGTTGTAAAAATGCACGTTTTTAATTAGTCATTTCCACGTGCATTCTTTCACATTTAATAATAAATTGCCGAAAGTTCCCCAATTTTACATGAATTGGGAAAAGTGAAAAAAATAATAATAAGTGAAAACTCACTTTAATGCCTAGCTCGCATTATAATGCTCAGGCATTTAAACGTATCACAGAATTAAGTATTGCTTTATTTATTAAAATGTAGGTAAGTTGATGGTTTTCGACTGCTTAAATGTCGTGGAATGGTACTGGGCACTAATGGAATTTGTCGATAGAAGCTAGTGTTTTATTACTAGTTACATTTGTAGGTGGTAATGCAGACTTCATAAGTACTTTGTTGACTTGAATTAGATAAACAGGCAGGAGTGGCAGCCTGCTAATTTATGCTTCGATTTATTTTTTACCATGTGGATATTTGCACTTAGTTATCCAACTATCTCAAAACCTCTTGACTGAACTATTCTGGTGTATTTTACGAAAATGTGGCGGATTAAAATAAAGGAACTTTTTTTCAATCAAGTAGGACACACTTACATTTAAGTCAGTCAGTATAATTGTGCATATTGTGAGTGAGGTAAAGTAAATTTTTAAGATAATTAACTGTGTGTGCGTAATTATTTCTGCGGAAAACGTTACTTTAAGTTTATTTTCAGTTGACGTAGCTACTTTTGAGTTTCTAAATCAACTAAATAATTTGTATACTGGTACCTAAATAACTCCACATTTAAAAAGCAACTTACGTACTAAAAATAAACAGTTTAGTGTTTTACTGTCTGGCACACAAGTGCGTCTCGTTAATGAGATCAATTGATTAAATAGCTGGGTTTGTGTGCCAAGTCTTAGGCTATTTGATTCCCTGTGAAGTGTAAATCGAAGAGTTTAGACAACACACGAACACTACGCAACAAGGGTCACGTAAATGCAGCCACTTTTTAATGGTTTGGTTTAATTTTACTGCTGAAAGTGTTTCAAGGTGACGACAGAACATTCTCCTCAACAAAAATTTCTTATATTTATGATATGTATCTGTTAATCTATTGACCAATTACTGTGATGCTACAATAATTACTCTTCTCAGAGCTGATTGTAAGTGCATAAGTTCAACGGAAGGACTTAGGCTTAAACCCTTCCCAAAAATAAATGCCATTTACCGCATTGGGGACTTAATGAAATGATAACTTAAAAGAACATGGGTTACATCCAACATGGTTACAAACCTCTCTCCTGATACAGGACTTGAAGTTATTGGTAAATTAGACATGTTTCTTATACGGCCCTTAGACTAGGAAGCAACCAAAGTCAATACGTGCCTACAAATTTCTTTCTTAGTGTGACTAATGCATAGGAATGCCAATGCCTGGCTGTCTTGTGCGGGTATGGTGTTTGCGTGCACCGTCACCGTTGGATGTTGGTATGGATAGGTTTGAAATTTTGGTTATAAATTATTCAACAAATATCGTTTTCCCAAGACGTGATTAAGCACAATATCCAAAGCTTAAGAACCAGACTTCTTTAGAACAGTAATGTAAGAAATTCAATTAGGCTTGGATTAACCTGTTGTTAAAAATTGGCCAAGAAGGCGTTCAATTGAACAATCAATTATTCGGAGACGTATTATGCCAGGAAGGTTAATTGTTTTATGAAAATTAGGGCGACAGAGTTTTTTTGTTATGAAATATCATCGTGTGAAAAAAAATAAACAGCTGGTAGAGACCAAACTGCCTTTTAGGATTCAAGAAGTGAACGCCAGTCCTTTGAAATGCTTGGTCCCTCGATTTATTTTCAGGTGACAAGTTAATTTTAAAAACTGTGAGACTAACCTGCAGCAAAATATATGGACTTTTGAACACAAGGTTTGTTTTTGTGCCCAATAAAACCAGTTATTTGCAAATAAATTTTAAAAATATGTCGTTGTTAGCAGCTTGTCATAACTTAAAGCAAACATTTTTACTGATGTAATCTTAATAATTACACAGAGAATACTGTTAATCCTGTATAATTTAAACCAGCCAAAGCATAAGGTTGATTCTTGTCATTCAACTTAAGGTAATTAAAAAACTAACCAACTTACAAGTCTGAGCATATCAGAGGACTTATTTGTATGGGTACAAGTTTGTGAGCACGTTAACACAACTTCATTAATTAAGTAGGCTGAAACAAGTTTTTTTAGTAAATTGCCCGTGTTTTTAAATTTAACATTTGTTTCCCATAAAATTTCTAATCTTAACAATTTTGACAAATTAAATTTCTCAAATAATTGCCAATAAGATTGGGGACGTCAGCATTTTCTCAAACTACTTGAACTTTCCTTAACACAGTAGTATATCGGTTACAGAAGTGTTGACAGGGGCATTTTAACCTGATTTCGATAATTGAAACAACAGTGGGGATCGTCTACTGGACACTTTGTCGTCATTTGCTAGGTTGCAAAAATTAGTTCAAAATACATTAAAAGAAAAGCCAATTGTTTTTAATATGTGTGGTTAGACATAATAACGAAGATAAAGAGGATTAAATTTATCATTGGTGATGGTGAAAAAGGCTTTAACGTTACTGTTTAATAAATGATATTTTAAACAAACCTTGTATTTCGCGAATCAGAACAACTGAATATTCCGTAAATAGATGTCATTGCTCTACCCAAATTTTCACAGCCAGGAAAAAGTTTTTCCACTTTTGTAAAACCCATTGTTCTTAATTCCGTTAAAAAATAAATCTCTTCGCCTAATTATTTTACTGAATCCAAAAAATCAAGCATACTTCTGAAGTTGAGTGCAGCCTCAACTTCTTTCGTATTAGAAATGTGATGAAGTCCCTATTTTATTAGTAATGGTTAATCAATATTGTAGTAGTTTTGGGATACCAAATCCCATGTTTGTGATATTGGCTGTGCAATTTATCATTCACATAATAAATTGTAGCCATGTGGGTGGTGCACTTCCGTCACGCTTTGACCGATCTGCAGGCGGTAGGTTTGTCTTCGTGCTGCATAAATTAGACTTAATTTAAATTATTTCTATGTTTTCATATCAGGTCACCTAAAGAATAAAATAAATTCCCTTTAAACTACACTAAAGTCAGTGGTAACTTGCACAATAGGACAGGTTTATTGTGTACGATTTAGGGGCCAACTCGTGCCAACAAATGTAGTAGCACCTACCTTGCAACAGAAGTGAATGCCATGTTTGAAGACCTCGTCGCTGTACACGGGTACGCGGGTGTCCAATCCATCGTCCAGCATGAAGTCATAGTTACTTCTCCTGAAGGGCATTGTATCGTTCGTCTAGCCTTAGTAACGTTTTGTGTTAGTCCAGCTGAGGTTAAACATGCCCTAACCCTCCGCACAGAGAACAAAAACGGAAATGGGTTACTGGAAAACTCGAAGAAAATCTTCTACATACTTTGTTAGTGCCCAAACAGCGTGTTTTGTCCATTATAGCGCGTGTTTCCATTTCTCTTAGGCCACTAACACGTGGTTGGTTGCGATTAAGCCAATCAACTGTAGCAAAACGATACTGCTCGTACTGGCGAAAACTAATTATTCGTGTTGACCCGTAGCGCGTGTGGACGTACGTTCGGGTGCATTCAAGTAATTTCGTATTAGGCCGACACAAATTTCCGTAGATCAAAATTTATGAATTTTTAATTTGTCTTTCTAAAAATGTAGTTCCATTTTTGGGTTCTCATAAAATCAACAAACTGCCAAAATTGTTCCACTTCTGATGCTGTAACATCGGGAACCGACAAAAAGGTAACAACCATGGTTTCACTGTTCTGCTGCTTGCTGAGTATACTTAAAGTTATCTGACACATCTGAACTACATAAATGTCCTTTTATTTATGAGTTTAGTGTTTTCATTCTAACGCCTTACCTGCATTCCTATGCATAACACATTAACTCAACATTGCCTTGCTCACTAATTAGTAAGAAATTCTGTTCAAGGTTTCGATAGTGCTCCTTATGAATTCCAAAGTTTCCTTTCTTAAGTAGCATTCAGGCATCTCTTCCGCCCGTTAAATTCTTTCGAATAAGAACCATGGCAAAAAAATGCACCGCAGAAACAAACTGAACACGACAATTAAGTGACTGCTCTAATTTTGTTTTACTTAAAGACAAAGCTAATTGCAGTGTAATTGTAATTAGGTTTGGAATAAACAGGAGGATATTGCTTAATTTTCTCAATGTCGATCGTAGAAAATGTTTTCAAAAACAAAGTAATGTTCACATTTGAAACTCTCGCTGATGAAGCTAAAAGTTCGGTTGATCAAGACCTGCGTCCTTGATAACAGTGTTAGATAATCGAACTTTTGATTTCGAAGTAACGGATTAGTCCAGTTGCCACACAAATGCTTTATAAAAATAAGCATACTTCTGTCGATTTTAAGAAATGCTTTGTGTATGTTTGCAACAGACATCCGACGACGACTTTTTGGCACACAAGGAAGAGCCTGTTTGGAATTAAATGTGCTGTAACTTTCGTGCCTTCCGATTTTAAAACGAATCGTTTTTAAATGGATTGAAAAATAGCTTAGACTGTGAATACATGATCCGGTGCCGCCAACAGACACAGGAATTATAGAAAAGCTGCGTAGAGAATTATGTTGCAACAGATTACAACAAAACATAAAACTTAGGAAGTTTGATTCAAAACTTTTTTCGCACCTTGTGAGCTACTGAAATTTATTCGTAAGACTAGTCAATTTGGGAAGTAATTCACGTATTCAGGTACAATTTTTATTAGTCCTACTATCCTTAAAAGGACATTAGGTAATAACGGTGGTTGTAAAAATTACAATTGGAAGGTTCCAATCAACCCTTTCAAGCCTGTACTATCTTCTTATTTTAGCTTTTAAACACCAATTTTGCGTGCCGCATGTGTCCAAAAACAACAAAATTCTTTCACGGTTGAATTCAAGTCAAGGACAGAAGTCCAGTGTGATGGTAGTTTCGTACGAAAGTTCAACCTAAATCAACTGTATGATAAATTGTCTAATTAGGTGGTTGTAGAAATAGACTATTTATTAGCTGCCTATAATTCAGACTTTACCCTTTTGCGTCTTGATTGCAGTTTTGAAACTGCGCATATAGGCTTTGGTCTCCATAGATATCAGCGAATGGATCTTACTGCGACTGTACAAAGCAACTTGCGTTTTCTTGAATCCCCCAAGGTAATTTGATTCGTAGCGCCAGCAAGCCAAAATGTTGTTGAACCCCAAGTGCAAGACTAATGCGCGTTTAACGTCACTTTAAAGACAACAGAAGTGCTAAACATGTTAATACACAGGATTTTTTAATTTTGCCAGTTTTTAATTTATCGCTGCTATAAAGGATGCCAAAACCTGGTTTTGGTTTACGTACATAATTATTTGAACCACTAAGCTCTACTGTTTTATGTTCGACATCCTAGCTTATGAGTTCCAGTCATCATTCGTGATTACGTTTGTATTGGATTAGCCAAATATTCATATTGGCATGGTATTCTGTACCCAAACCAATTACTTACTGGGTTAAGACGTGAATCCACCCTTTTCTTTTAGTTCGTATTTACAATAATGTTTCAAAACAAAGTATTATGATCATGTATGCATTAACATCCATTTTCCTGCGTCCCTCACTTTGATCCCGTTTTGCCAAAGCCAAAGTCTCACTACTGTGCTGTTGCATGTCATGTCATGCATTTGGTTTGAAGACAAACGACCACCACCTTGGCAGCTTTTGCAGATCGCACTCAAGCGCTGTTACGTTGGGCTTCTACTTAATTTTAGAAATCTGATCGCTTCTACTGAAAATTCTAATGTAAAATGTGCAAGCACAGAGATTACACTTGATTGTCTGATTCCATCCGAAAATTTCCTAGTGGATGAGATCCTAATCATCCCCATAGAATAAAAGCTTTTTTTCGACTTGCGGCATTGCTAGCTCAATTTGATCAACATACTCTTTGCCTTGTTTACTTTGAAGACAGTGACAGTGCAAAGAAGGAGGTTTGATTTGAACCCACGGGTTCTGCGTGCAGCGTCAACAAACCGGTCTCAATTCTGAAACCGTTGTAGTGAATTGGACTGATTCAAGTCAATTAACCCGGTCGCCGCACCACCGCCACACTGAACTCTTCACGGCCTCCCTATCGATCAGGCTAAACCTCCTGCTCTTACAACCCCCGTGCATGTACTCCCACCCTGCGCGCCACCCGCTTCATTCATCCGGCCCTTCAGCCATTTGTACTTTTCCGGATTCACCCTGCCTGTGCTTGTCAGCAATCACATTTAGTTGAGCACGCTTTTTTAGGCCCAGAAACGCGACATTCACAACCAGGTTGGGCTATTTGGTTAACGGTTGTCTCTGTCGTCCTCTGGTCCACTCGGGCATTTGAGCAAAATACAAAGATCGCTTTTAACACAGCGGCCCCAAGGTGATTTATGACCACATGCCACTGCTTTGGTTTTTCGTTAACTTAATGAACTGCAAATTTACCAATTTTGAATATTCTACACTGACTCCAAGTAACTACCAATGGTGTTTTGGTCGAAAGTCATTTGCTTAGATAATTCCTGTCTGTTTTGTAGTCTCGCAGCACCTTCAAGCTGTTTTCGTCGAAGTTAGTTATGCAGCCGAACTGTGGCGTACCAGTAAGATCTGCTTTGCAGCTTTTAAATATGATGGACCGGTTCTGGACAATAATGCCTCCTAAATAAGCAGCACCAATTTATTCAAATCACAATTAAAACACAATGCGTGTGGATTCGAAAACAGACTTAATTCAACATAACACTACATTTTTAAAGTTATAAGGACTTTTAGGGAAAATGATATCAGCTTTACGGTAGCACAGGGAGTTTATTTTCCAAAAACATGTAACACTTTACCGAGCACAGCGAAATGGCGTCAAAAGTGCTATAAGAACGAAAGGAACAATGTTTTAACCCAATAAAACCATAATAAAACATTGTTAAGGCAGTACGATGCAATGTGAGCTAAACTGGCTGTGTTAAGCAAACCTTCGCTGCTCCTAGATTTAGAACGTACCTATACCGCTAAAGGTGATTCTGTCTTTTGGTAACTAACAGTTAATTGGCAACAGCACTTGTTTCAGACACCACACATGAGAGAAGTTGACTCATCCGCGAAAAACCTAACATGTCCGGCCATCTGTTCTGTCAACGTGTATATGAAAGAGGTTTCTATGTCATAATTTTGGCAAACCGGTAATGTAATGTACAAAATCATTTAAGAATTAAGCAAAAATGCATGATCATTGGAATGTTCACCGCAATTTGGGAAGTTATGCCTTTATAGGCAGCACTCAACCGGCTCCTTTTATATTATTAAAAACTGGTGTTGCTTACTGTAGTGTAAATGTCAATCACTATAGTCGGCTAATTACACAAGGAGCGCATCTATTAATAAGCTTTTTTCAAGGAAAATATAGAAAACACTGTTTTTGCAAAGCAGTGTATTCCCTTAAACAGTAAGATTGGCCCGTTCCTATAGAATCACGAATTGTTTAAGTATTAAAAAGTGGGCAACTCTGCAGTGGCGTTTCTTCACAAATGAACAGGCAAAACCCTCGTTTTAAAATAGGTTAGTAGATATTTATAATACTTCAACGTATTTAAGGTGTAAAGCATCAACAGATTACGTAACGATCAACAGCAAAGTGGTGTCACCAAGAGTCTTTCACTGTAAATGGCCCTTTTAGAGCGTTATTTGCTTGGTTGTTTATTTAGATTTCTACACTGAATCTGACGCATAGTTCAAGAAATCAATTTTGGTTAACAATAATTAAAACACTTGACTGATAAGGAGGCATAATCGAGACTAAGCATAGTGATGGGCTAGGTGAAAATTTTTTGTGAATTGGAGTTCATCCCCTTGAGGTCCAAAAACGAACGCTCTATATACTTCTGTAATCGACGTTTGATAGCACATTATCCGAGAATACTTAGATTACGTTTTACACGGTAAAGCAAGTGCATCAGACGTTGTTGACCCTATGTGTCTCTCGAAATTCCACTTGTTGATTTAAGGAGGCAGCATTTATGGGTGGCTATCAATTTGCAGTCAATGTGTTTAGAGCGTTCGAAATTTACTGAACTCCTCCTCATTGGAATTCAGAAGCTCCGGAAACCACTATTAGCATGACTAAAATGAATTTCTCCGTTTTTTAACAATTTCAAAACGATCTCCCTTTAATAATGTTACAAAAAAAATGCAAGTGGCTCCAAGGTGCTCATTTATCATCTGATGCTACCGCTGTAAAAGAGCAACCG